TATATATATATATATATATATATATGTTATAAACCTTTTTCGTAGTATGAAAATGTTCCTGCAGCAAACCACCCTTTATGGTTGCATAGTACAGCTGCATAATTTTTCTATTAAGATTTCAGGTTAACTTGCACTAACATTCCAAAAAAGCCATTTGAACATCAGCACCACAAGATATTTGCAATAAAACCAGGTAGATATAGAAATACAGACTAAATAATATTTCACTCTTTAATGACGGGCTATTTATTTTGCAAACCACCATGACCTGCCCCTCACTGCTTAGGAAGTGGTGAACCCCAGGAAGTGCAAACCCAGCTGCAAGCCATCAGAAAAGGACATGCCATCTGTGAGACATCTGTGCCTGAATTTGATTTCATTGGACAAATAAAATAAGCTCTGGTAGACGTAGTAAGTAACATACAAAAATAGTTTGTTTTGCCAGTCAAATGACAATAAAAGCAACCTATATGTATCCTGACCCTGACACACCAAGGAAGGTTGTGTTGACCGAGTCTGTGTGCAGGTACTGATTTTTTAACTTTTTAACAATCAAAAGCATTTCAAATGTTGAGCCAGAATTACTTGAACTATTTCTGTACATACGATGATCGAAAACCACACAAAGAGCACCTTTTAGGATTTACTTCACTGTGGAACGAGGCCATCCAGCACTTGTTTTGTTACGAAATCTATTCTTTTAAACCATATAAAGTAACTTGAACTTGTAACAGTTATCTTTATTGTAGGTGTATTCGTGTACGTGTAATGTTTAGGCTTTGGCAAGGTAGGCTAATTTTTCACCCAAATTTTACAGCAGTCATGGCTGTTAACACTAGATGGCACCATTGGAGTAGAATCAATTGCCTTAGCTCTTAAGGATACTTTATTGCAACATTTTTACAATATTCTATGTTAAGTATCAAGAGCTTTCAATTACCTCGGCGTACAGATTAGAGGTGAGTTTTTAAGACCTTAAAATCAGTGTTTGGTCAATAGAAGTATTAATGGCTGCATAAATTTGTTACATCTACTCACTGGGTCTCTGTGACATTGACTACAGTGAAAAAGAACAGCAGGTGACTCTTTGTTAACTTTCACATTGTGTTCAATAGTAATAGTATTTTATCCTCTTGGTCAACACTTGAATTTCATGACAGTGGCAAAGACAGAAATGATGTATGACTGTTGCAGGAGGATATTGTTGAGGATTATGCTGCTGGGGTCTTGAGCATGTGTGAATATGCACATACAGCGTCAAGATCCATGCAGCAGATGTCCAATAAGATGTCTCATTTCCTGTTTGCCGGAGGCTGTGGCTCCTGCGTAGATCCAGGCGTACACACTCACACTTTAACGGTATGAAACAAGTGGAGAGTTTTACATTTCAGGGCAGCTAGATGCTACTTGAGTTTATTGCACAGAAATTTGTATTTACAGGTTAGAAGCGTTATGAACAATACAGTACAAACTAAGCACCGAGTAACCAAATATTTTTGGTTTGCTGTCCAGAAGGTGGCAATGAAGAGCCAGATAACAGACCAATTCTCTAACCATTACGCATTTTAAATCTAAATGTCTTTCATTATTATTTGCTCTAATACTTCTATAATACCGGCGAGAATAAAGGTTTTAGTTCAGTCTAGACTCCAAAATAAAGAGCAGTCACACAAATTTGCTGCTTATTTCAGAATCAACTGAGAGGAAAGTTACGAAAGGATTCAATGTCTTTAAAAATACAGCTTAAGTAGTAAGACTAGAGACTCAAAAGATTTGTGATGTTGAGAGCGGCAGTCATCCTGCAAAGAGGCAGTTCTGTGATTTTCTTTCGGCACACCTGTGCATTTTTCATAGATGTGATGCATGTGGCATGAAAACCTGAATGATCCACTGACGCGATCGAGCAGCAGGGTCAGCTAAAGCCGGGAGAGTTCAGCTAAGGTATTTCACCACCAGGAACATGACAAAGCAAGTAGCCAGCATTCCAGCCATCATGATGAACTTGTCCTGCGATGCTCGCTTCTCAATGAAACGCATGACCGTGTTCGACAAACCCAACATGTTTGCGACATCCAACATCTTTTTATGGGTACCCTAAAAAAAACAAAGTGTGGAATATTACTATGAATCTCTGATTTAAAAAAAACAAAAATATTTTTTTTTCTCTTCGTTTTCTCAGTGAGCAACAGATAAACTTTTCATTCACTCAGTAAAATATCTGAGGTACACAATACATCACCCCCCATTTCCCCAAAAGCACAGGCGGAGAGGGTCTCTCACGCTCTGTGATAATCAAAGGAGCTTCAGGAAGAGCACACGCTCCTCCCTGGAAACACACTGTCAGTGTCTACATGTGCATACATGACCTCAAACCAGTGGTGTCACTGTTAGCTAAAACTGACATGTTTCCCTTAACTGAAACAGTGGAAATAAAACATAAATATTTGATGAAAAGATTAGAAATGTTGCCTTGGCAATTAAATGAAATAAAATAAGTTGAAATACTAAGATCACTAAAACTAAAGCAGAAATAAAAGAAGCTAAATAATGAAAAATCAAAGATACTATAAGGAAAACTAAAACTTCATATAAAATGAAGCCTAAATCCAAATATTAATAACTACTATAATAGTATATAAATAATACTAAAATAACGCTGACTCAACACTCCAACACCTACTGTTAAAATAAACAAGATTAAATTAAGTATTGTGTTAATTATTCCTGTCTACATTTTCATTAAACTGTATTATATCAGCCATCAGCACTTTATCAACAATCAGTCGAGCACTATTTGAAACGATTAGAAACACCCTGATAAGAGAACGGGAAAAAATTCCCCTTCCTGGTCTAGAGTTGAATCCGCCCTGTGTTGTGTGCGTCACACACCTTAAGCGTGCTCCTCTGGTCTCTCAGGCCGTTAAGGATGCTGGAGCCGGAGCCCAGCAGGTCGTCCATTCCTCTGTGAGCGTTTTGTAGACTGCTATTAAACTGCAGGGTTTCATCAATAGGGATGGAGGTGTCTGCATCCTACACATAAAAAGCACACAGCACTGTCGAAATCAAAATGCCTTCTTTGTAGTGTGATGTACGTTTATAGACTTGTGAGTGATGGAGAAAGAGTCTTGGCAGAAACTACGCAGAAGAAGGTGTGTGTGGTCTACTGACGTTTGTTGTGAAGCTTCGGCTCAAGAGCTCCTCTCTTTCTCTCTCCTGAGCCTCGCGAGCGTAACGTCTGTGCTGGAAGTTCCTCAGGGCTGTCTGGAGATGCTGCACATCATACTTCAGCTGATCAACACGCCTATAAAAAGAAAAACACAGTGAGTGTCTTTCAGAGCACACAGCAGCCCGCAGGCCTTGTTTGGTGATGCAACAGTTGTAAGACTTCCTGCTTGTTTATATAGAAAGAAGTTTTGCATTCAAAAACTTTTTACACTTTATTTATACCGTTTAGGGCTAATGTAAAATAATTTCAGGTCAGTTATTGGAAATTCAGGCCAGCTATTATTGCAAATTAAAAACGATTTATTTTATATTTTATTTTTATGTTCACATTCATTTATTAATGAAAAATGAAAATTACACTTATTTTTGAAAAATGATGAAACATTATCATTATTATACTTTTAATATCACATCACTAAAAATAAAATTTGATTTTTAAAACTCATTAAAATGATCATATATAATACTTTAATAATGATCACACTGATGAATGTAACGTTTATTTTTGAAATTTATTGTAAAATATGTTGCAATTATTATATATAATAGTTCTAATAATAGCATTACTAGAAATCTAATTTATTTTTTATTCAAAATGGTTTAAAATATATAAATGCTATTTAAAATAAAAAAAACTACTATTTATATAATAATTCAAATAATGATCATATTGGTAAAAATGCTATTTATTATTATAATTGTTTTTTTAAATAAAAAAAAAAAAAGCAAAAATGCAAAATTCCGTTGTAGGGTCAATGAAAATATTCTCAAGTACAAGTACAAATTTGAACTAATGGGTTGACTGGGTCAGCAGACGAAATCCTTATTGCTGAGCTGTTTTGACTAAATACATAAATACATGTACGGTATTGGAACAGATAAAGATATATAACTATCAATTAAATGACAAAAGTGTTCAAAGCTTTCTCTGTTAAAACTAGAATTCACATTGTTAGACTGGTGTTTCTGTATAGCGTGTTTGAGATCATCCACACACATACACTTCAAGAAGAGTCTGTTCCTCACGATATTCGTTGTTTTGTGAGTGAGTGTAACAGGTGTGTTGGCCTCAGGTGTGTTTGTGCAGTGCTTTAGCCAGGCTTTGCCACACACGGCAGGAATGTTGGTGATGACGTGACTGCAGACGGAATGTTTTCACTGGATCCCTCTGCCACGGGGCGCATACAACACAAACCTCACATCACATCGCATTATTCTTCATTTGGCAGAGGCTGTCATTCAAAACAACTTACATTATGTATTTACTACAAGGACAGAGCAACTCAAGTTCTTATGGGTTATGTCATGGTGGAGACGATTGCAGAAGCTCATGAATCCCCTGATCTTTGAAACTACAACCTTTAGGTAGCCATCTATCCAGCAATACTATATTCCAGCTTCCACTTACTCTGGTTAATGATTACAGATTACAGATCTTCTGACAGGAAAGATATTTTGCTCTAGTTGCCTATCCTCCTAAAAAACAACCTCGGATCAAGACACTAGTGGATATTTCTACTGATGCACTCACAGTTTGGCATTTTGCCGGCGGTTTGGTGGCTCTTTACTGGCTAGTATCTCAAGTCGCTCCAGCTGATTAAAGATTTGATCAATTCTTGCTTGAAGTTCATTTTCAAGTACTGCGGGAAAACACAAGAATCAGAAACATAAGTACACAGATAAGAATCATATATCAAGTACATCACAAAATACTAAATACAAACTAAAATTCAAGTTTGGGGTCTGTAAGATTTATTAATGGTTTTGAAAGAAATCTCTTAGGCTCAACAAGGCTGCATTTTGTTATTGCGATTTATTACAGCATTTTAAAATGACAGTTTTCTATTTTGATAGATTTTAAAATCTAATTTATTCCTGTGATGCAGTGTCACGTGATCCTTCAGAAATCATTATAATATGCTGCTTTGCAGCCCAAGAAACATTTATTAGTATCAATGTTGAAAACAGTCATGCTTTACATCAATTTAAGCATACTTGCTGAATAAAAGTATTCATATCTTTAAAAAAAAAAAAATCTTACACACACCAAACCTTTGACTAACAGTCTATGAACAAATTATATATATATATATATATATATATATATATTTGAATCTGTTAAAAAAATTAGCCACGTTTAAAAAAAGAAAAAGGTTCAAATCAGGGATGCACCAATGTTTACATTTTGTAATACCCAATTTAATTGCTACAAGTGAATTTAGGCATCACAACATTATAATGTACACAGTATACAAAAATGGATTTGCAAAAGCTCATTAAACTCTTTTAAATATTAACCTTAAATGAGTGTTAGATGGCCACAATAGTAATCTTAATGTGAAAGTAGGGGAAATAAATGTATTTCATTATAATAAATGCATGCACTAAGCTGCAATAAGTATCAGGCAGAGAGAGAATCAAGCATTGACAAGCAGATCCGCTGATTGGGAATGAGTGCCGCTTCCTTGGAGAGAACCGCAGACTGGTGGGAAAGTTTTATCACACATGCAGTCTGCCCTGACCCGCACCCTCTGAGACAATGCAATCTCAGTCGCTCTCACACAGACAAACCCATGCATGCGCTATGCATCCTTCCCACCTATGACATCTCTTATGATGTCACCAGTATGGGTAGGAGACGGTTATCTTATTCAGACTCACCAAAGAGCCACAACACCACCTCAAACACACACACCACAGCACTCCATGAGTCTCCATGCCCCCACCCCATCACTCCTCCCTGTCCTTCCTGCCGTGGCACCAGCCTGGCTCTCTGCAGAAGCTCCACCTCTACAGAACAATCAGCTGCTCAGTGGCACCACGATGACTCTGCCTGCCGCCAGTTTATACCCTACCCAGTTTATATGCGGTTTGACAACTGGTTTATCCGATCATGAATGGAAAATACCAGGGTAAATGGGGTCTACACATTTTGGCGATATGATCACTGAAACCACAGGTTGTGGACAACATGTAGTGGATGTCGTGGCAGTCTTGTGTAACCACACACATTTTAGAGAAAATGTGAATTGGTACACATGTGTAAATAAGGCCTAGCTAGGACAGCTGCTAACTGATCTCTGATGGGTTTCCCAAAAGCACTGTAGGCCTAAACAGATAAACCATTGGCTCAGATGGTCTCTACAAACTACTTTACAATTCACAAAAAGGTTTACAATTCTTTTGAGAAATGCAACCCTGGACTGGTTATATGTCAAATTATTATAACTGGTGTTACATCTTGCACTTTCTTAGTGCTTTAATGTGTTTCAAAAGAATAAAGATGTTAATTTATATAGTGATTAAATATCAACAACAAACAGCTGAGGATAATTATTATCATTAATTATAACTATACGTTAATAGAAATGGTTGGTTGTATTTAGGTTTAATGACATATCAGCTTCAAAGACTATTTAATGGCAGATCCAAATTCAACAAACAATACAATAAATATGAAAAAAGAATAATAATTCAACATTTTATATATACATAACTCCATAAAGGATTCTAAATGTACTGTGAAAGTTTTTCTGGGTCCATCTTACAAAATAAGTCCTTCAAAGTTTGTCCAAATAAAAAATATTGTCTCATGTCATTAAAAATTCACCCTTCATTAAATACCAATGAATCAGTCTGGTGTGACCTACATGACACCTTGTGCAAACAACATGGTCATCTCAGGATTTAAATGTAAAGTAAATTTAAATGTAAAGTAAACTATGCTTTTTCAAAGCAGCTTTACAGAAAATCATGATGTTACTATTTATAATATTTTAATATCTTCACGCCTTAGAGTCACATTTAGCAGATTAGAGCTGGAGAGATAATATAGTTTACATTCTGCGATGAAATTTTTTAGTTAGTTAGTAAGACAAAGGTTAAAACACATTCAGAACTACAATAATAGGCTATAAATGAAAGAAAACACACGGGGGAGTCAGACTAATAATTATAGAAATAAGTGTAAAGATTTGCATATAGATAGGCTACACAGTCTTAATGACTTTCTTATTATTAGAATAAAGAATAGTCTTGAAAAAGTAAATACAAAATTAATCCATCAACCAGAATTAAATTAATAATGGCCTACAATATTAGGTCTATTTTATTTTATTTGAGGTGACATTAGTAAAAGCGGGTGATATTCATTAATCCTAATATAGTCTATAAGGAATACATCTATGACTGTGAATTAATTTGGACAAAAAGATTTTACCTTTACTTATACAGTTCTCTATAAAGGTACAATGATACTAAATGCCACATGGGGTAAGAAGCCTTTATGCTAAAATCTTAAAACTAATACACATTGTCAGATTTGTAAATTAAACATGAACTGAAACCATTAACAAATTCCAGAATAATACAAAAGTTACAAAACATAGCTAGATGTTATAAAATGCCGAAAGAGACATAAAAATAGTCATAAAACATAACAACAACATTTTGTCCCTGTGCAAAAACACAGCCCTGTATTTTGGTGGAAACTATAGGCTAATTATAGGGTTAACATTTTGTAATGTTTAGATTAGAATGTGAACAGCAATTAGCAACCAGCTTTAATCTTAAATAATGTGAATTAAGGTAGGCTATTTTTCCCATAAGATCTCTACATTCAGAAATCTGTTCCATAAAGCCCTTTAAATGACAGCTATTAATGTAAACCTTAATCCCATTCATCATTTATGTGAAACGTGAATCAATCAGCAATTGTAGTTTTATGAAAGCAAATACCATCATTCTTATAGTATGGTTACAGCTTGAGGCCTGGGGGAAGGTGTGTCAACTTTCATCCCTTGATGGAGCGTCAGTGACAGGAGGAACGTAATGACAAAACTTCTTGGGGCAAGATTTTGTCAACTCCTTTCGCTCGTCTCGGCTTTGTCTAATTAATGTCTAGTTTCCGCAGCCTTGTATCTGAACACACCAGTCTGATCTGGTGCCTCCCATGCCCGGAGACACAGACACAAGAATAATGATATAAAAATTTCCAAAAAGGAGACAGACAGACGAGGTGGATGTTTGTTGACCTGTTCATCACAGTTTGAAGAGAATGAGTGGATGAAAGTGACATTGATTTAGCTACATTGGGTTTTTTTGCCCTGTGGTTAAACCTCAACAATGTCATCGCTGAATTCTCCAGAGACTGGTCTGTGTGTGTGTGTGTGTGTGTGAGTATGTGTAAAGAATAAGACATGATGGTTTCATACAAAATAACACAGCTGGATTATTCATGTTTACACCTTTTTTCTAAATATGTTGTAATTAAATAAGGTGTTTTTATGAAAATGTACACCTGACATTCTTAAAAACTCAGGTACTTAAACCTATTACTTTTAAAGGGGTCATGAACTTGCCTTTGTTTTTTTATTTTGTACTGTTCTCTGAGGTACACTTAAAAAAAACATCATAATTTAGAAGTAATAAGCTATTTTCTGTCCTGTTTTAACCCCCCTCATCTGAGTGCTCTGTTTGAGTGTGGCGGATTGTAGACTCAGAAGTAAACGCCACTGCTGTGATTGGCTAACAGTTGTGTATGTTTGACAGTCTACATCCTTCACAGATGGACGCTGTTGTGATTTAGGTTAAGAACTCATAAATACAGTACATATCAAACGACCTAGTTTGTAAACGAATCTGCGGTAAAATGAAGTGAACAAAGGACCAAGTTCTTACTGATGCAGTCTGGTATTTCATTAAAAGTAAAGTTCGTTTGGTTTCTGTGTAGACCTGCGTTTTCCGTTCTTGTCATTTACACTACATGTATGAATCAGTGGGCGGGGCTAAACAGGCAGCGATGTAGAAGCAGGCGTTGATCTTCTTCTGCGGAGGCAGTGCTTATCCACACTATTACATCATAATGTAGCACATTCCACAAGCTGTCGTTTTGACAGACTGGTTTCAATATAACGAGAAGGTTTTGAGTTCTGAAACTTAACGAATGTTTTTTTATAGAACAATGATCGCTTATATATCAAAAGGTCAAGGGAATTTTGATTTCTCAGTTCATGACCCCTTTAAACAGATTACTGATTATTAGATAAGATTGACATGATGCATGAAGCTGGGTGAAAAAGAAGGGTGGAAATAAATAAATTAACAGGATGTCTGTTAGAGAATCGGCTTACATTAGAGTGTCAGTTTGATTCATTTTAGATTTTTTGGTTTTTAATTAAAACATTTTTGTGTACAATATGTAAAAAAAAAATGCTGGTATTTTTTTTGTTGTTGTTGTTGTTGTTTTTATGTACGTTTCATTTATTTATTTTTTTACATAAATTCCATACTCAAAAAAAAAATTGTTGTCATAAAAAGTCGTACTTATAAGTGGGGAATGTTTTTTAAGCCTATTTTGAAAAAATGTATAAATATAATTTACAGCAAATTGAATAAAAACATTAAAAGCAAAACCCCACCTTCTTTATTCATCATTATCATTTTGCATTTTATGCAGAAAGGGTAGTTGCTTGCTCCTAACATGATTCCATCTGCAAAAATTATGAATATATTTTCCAGTACATTCTTCTTTCTCTTAGAGGTCTACTGTGTGTAGGTCAGGTGTGTGTAATTATAGGTGTCTGTATGTGTGTGAGTGTGTGTTTATGTGCTACTCAAGATCAGGGCAGCTACCTGTTTTGACTGGTGTT